AATAGGTATCAGAAGAATTTCACCTTCTGAGGAGTTCAAATGAAGGATCTTGTAAGATCGCCTAGTAGACTACTTCTGTCCCTGCAGTGGTTAAGTAAGTTTTTCTCATTCCTTTGCTGGCATGAGAGAAGAGAGAGGCTTCCAGTTCTGCCAGATGTGAAGGAGGGTTGAGAATATATGGTCGTGCTGACATAGGAAGCGCAAGATGAAGACTTGTCTTCTTTTCTTGCAAGATTGTGCTGAAGCAGCATTTAAACTCTGAGATTTAACAGCTTAATTTTATTTGGACAGAATTGCCTTACTTAATGTCTCTTCTAGGTTATTTTTGTAATGTTTCCTGTGGACTATTTGTACCCTGGGCTGAAAGAGAAAAGAGGAAAGCAGTCTATGCAGAGGCTCTTTAGGTGCATTTGAAGTAGCATCAGGTAGTTTTCAAGTGGCTATACATAATACATTTAATAAAATTCTCCTTGAGATTTTTTTTTCTAAACATCTCCCTACCTAAAATGTGCAGAGCTTCTATATAAGATTCAATTAACATCTTCACAAAAAGTCACAATAATGGAGAAGCATAACACAACTCAGAGTTTCTTTTGGCCTTCCATTTTAAAAACTTTTGAAATGGATTTAAAACATTGAAATCAGGCTACAGGGTGTCAGGGACAACAACTTGTATTTATTTTGCTCTCACTGTTCTTATTTAGCAATGTTATACACGCATATGCTAGGATATGTCCTCCTTCCTTCGCTTGTAGTCCATTAAACTTAAATTCAGGTTATGAAGGATTTGGACCTGTTACGCTGTCTTGTGCTCTTGAGAGATATGGGAGATATGGGCCTATGAGTAACCATGTAGTTATAAGGGACCAGGCCAAAGTATTTTGAATAGATGGTGCAAAATTGCAAAAAGATGAAATTCTCTGAAGAATGTGTATGAGCATCTTACAGAGGTCAGAACAGAGTCATGTCTGTAAAACGACTTTTAAAAATATAGCTTGTAAACTTAATTTTTTTCTGAAATCTGATTTTGATGGGGCATTAAAGATTTTGGATAACTTCAATTTTATTTCCTAATTAATTTTCCATTTTATTTCCTAATTATATGAAAGCAAGAAATGAAATATTAGGGGAGAATACAAGGCTAATGCAGCTGAAGTTGGGGATTTCAGTGCATGAGAGGGAGACTTGCTGGGAAATAAAGAACACTACCGTTTTGAGCATTGGAATGTGTACATTAAGAAATGTAGACTAATTAGGCTTTTTGTCTTGATCATATTTTAACAATCTGGCCTATTCTTTTTCTGTGTCTTTAGGTAATAGGGCAGTAAGTCTCTGCTTGCATTTAAAATGTTTGACATTTTTGGGGAGTTTCCACAATCTAAATAATATATAGAGTCACATTAGCCGAGAGTTTGCATGATGAATGGATTAAGGAAAGGATGATGCATTCCATGTGAAGCAGACATTCTCAGCTGCTGTTTGGAGTCTTCATTAAATTACTGGAGATGATATGCCTTCCTAATATTACGCACTCAATTTTAAAACAGTTTGAGGCATGATCCAACAAAAGGAACATAATGTATTAGTAGTGAATTAAAATTCAAATTGTCCTTAATTCATACCCTGTGTGTCATACCCCTCATGGTTATATTCTGCTACTAATGCTGCATAACTGTTGGTTGAAACTAATGCTGTATTTTAAATTTTATAGTAATCCCTTTCTGGGGTAATTTGTTTTCAAACGAAAGATAAAAAGGATTCTTAATTTAAATGTTTGTTAGTAAGGATAAAACATGAGGTTTACATAGAAGGCTAATGCTTTAATCACAGGTGTCAACTATTCTATTTTATTTGTCTTGTGTTCTGCAGCGGTACGTTCCTGGGGGGGAAGGAGGGTATGTCAGCATTTTCAAAATTAAAAACAGGGCTTTTTATTTATATGTATTCACAAAAATTTGTACAAATATAGCTAAAAGGTGTATATATAGAAAGGCAGTTGAAAGGAGTATTAAAAATCAGATATCTTACTAATAATTCTTTCCTTTATCCTGCCTGCATCAATGAATCTTTCGAGAATAACTTCACACCAAACACTTTTTATTAAGAATAGCATTCAAAAATTTCCAAGCCAGTTTTGTTATGAAACACCCTTGTGTTACCCATGGCAGCCTTTTACATATTGGCAAATAAGCCAGTCTAGGGTCGCTCTTAAATTGTTACCCCAGAAAGGGTTGATCTCTGGGGGTGAGAATAGGCAAGTCTCGTTATGGAAAGGAGCATGTTCACCTTCTGCAGGACAGGGCAGTGGGAATGCCTTGCAGGGAGATGGGTGTTCCAAAAAATTCCTGTATGCGTTCCTCTTAGTGCTAAAAAGTTCCCCTTCAAAGACGGATCTTGAGTGTTTTGATATATTTATACTTCGGACAGTGCAATGGTTTATAAACATGGTAGTCCCTGATCACTTGGCTGGCTTTCATTATACCAATTCATTGATTTGAGCTCAGTAAAATAAAATCTTCTGTAAAACCATAAAAAAAAGCAAGGCTGGAGATGAGAGATTTTGTATTACAATAGTAGATCCTCTGGCCACCCCAGCAAGATATTCCTGGTGAATGACACATTGCTATTGCTTTTCACAGAGAACTGCTAAGAGGCTTCTCTCACCTTTTTACAAATATTCTGCCAAAAAGTAGAGGAACAATTGGTGGATTTGTATTGCTACTGTAGCTGAAGGTCTACAATCAGACACTTTTCTGGTCTAGGGCGTGGTGCAGCAGAAGGAATAAAACACTGAGAATTTGGTTTTAAAGTAGCAAAATAGGCTGAACAAGTGACAAACATGGGGGAAAAATTATTTGGCTTATGATTCAATTTGTCATCTAAAATTCATAGCATTTTTGTGAAAAGCTGTTTTATTTTTCAAGTGGTACCACAGAAATAACTTTATCAGTTGGCATGCTTTGCAAGTTTGTTTTATACGTGAATTAAATCAGAAAACATACAGATATATGGCTGCTTTCCCTGAACAGTTTATGATGTTCACTTCAGTGTGGTGAATAATTAAATTTGGCCATAATTGTGTAATAAGTAAGTATAATATTGAAGACAGATAGTGCCTGATCCTACTGCTTCAATTCTCAGAAATGAAACATGATTCCACAGAAGCTCTTCCAGATATTTCTTCAATTGTACCTGGACTTACTGATCTTTTCTGGGATCTCGGTGCACGTTGGGCTTTTGTCACCACCTCAGAGCTGAAACGCCTACGTGTTAAAAGAGCTTCTCTCACTTAGAAGAGCTCTGGCTAACCAAGTTATCCAGCAAGTAAAATATTCATGCTGGGAGCCCAGTTTTGGCTGGTGTTTCTGGTGTCACCGGTTTTTCCAAAGGGGGGAAAAAAGGGTGGGGATAGATGCTGACACCATGATCCTGTATTGGCAGGTTTTTCCTTCGGTATTGTTTTTATACGTTTAGGGTAGAGGATATGGACTACGTACTTCTCAAGCCCTCAGACAGGGCCACTGCTGTTAACGTGGTAGTCACAAATACTTGTTAGCATATTTTAATAGCATTTAGATCAGGTTACATTAGACTGAATTGACTCCATAATTTGGGATCTAATAAAAGCTTTTTTGTTGGAATGAAGCTCCACGGAATATGTTTCTTCTTCCGCTTCAATGTTTTCCTTGTGTTTGAGATCTGCATATATCTCTCTAGCTTTGATTCTTAAAGGATTTAGTACCATCAAATCTTATGTAAGTTTGTGTGTGATTTTGAATATGCAGGAAGAACAGATTTGTGCAGAGAACACTTAAATGTGCGTGGTTATTTTTTAGAGCAGAATTGTATTTTCAGAATTGTTAAGAGTACTTGATGTACAGCATACTGATTTTTCTAGGAGATACTGAAAATATCACTTGTTTTAAAATAGTATTGCGGAGTGTAAAATGTTGGCTGCATGTGGGGTTACTTGGAGTGTGTGTCATATTTTGCATAAATGTCCTCTATATGCTGTTAGGAGAGCTAAACCTGTGGTCTTCCATGCTAACTTTGGAACGTGAATATAATTCTCTTTTAATTTGATGAACCTTTATAGCACTTCCAACATGTATACAATGAGGAGAAAAAAACCCCCTCTTTGTGTAAGATAAACACATTAAATTATGAAATACACTTAACTCACCGGTTTTATAGGTAGCATATATGTAGTCTTGGCTTTTTCCAAACATCAACTATGTCCAGAATGCTTTACCTCTTCTAGTTATTATTCGGTTTTGTTCTATATATACTTTTTATTGCTTCCTAGTTTGTTTGCCATTTCTTATCTTGTGTCTCTCTCTCCCTTCCTCTCTGTCCCCATTACGCTACTAGCGTTTCCCCATTGCCCTCTGAGGGAATGCAGGCCTAAATTAGGGGCTTGGATTAGTGTATCTGGACATGCTACTCTTCACAAAACAGGGGTAGTGGAAGTAAATAATCTGTTATCATCTCAGTGTGTTAGCAGTATGGATGTCTTCATTTCTTTCCTAGTTTGTTTGCCATTTCTTATCTTGTGTCTCTCTCTCCCTTCCTCTCTGTCCCCATTACGCTACTAGCGTTTCCCCATTGCCCTCTGAGGGAATGCAGGCCTAAATTAGGGGCTTGGATTAGTGTATCTGGACATGCTACTCTTCACAAAACAGGGGTAGTGGAAGTAAATAATCTGTTATCATCTCAGTGTGTTAGCAGTATGGATGTCTCTTTCATTTCTAGAATTGGTTATTGAATTGAGGTTCTCCTTCCTTAGTGGTAGGATGGAATACATAGATGTATACGTAAAAGGGTGTGTTTTAGGTAAAAATATACATCTCTGCACTGTTTGCTCCTTTGTCATACTTTGCATACAATTGAATGCGTTTATACCATGAATGTTAGTATTGATACTCAGAAATAAACCTCAGAATTGCAGTTCTAACTGAAGGCTTGACCTTTACAAATATATGCCTTATTTTTGTTTATAGGTGTAAAACGAAGGTGTATGTAGACAACCTTCCCACAACAAGTGTTGTCATTGTTTTTCACAATGAGGCTTGGAGCACACTTCTACGAACTGTTCATAGTGTGATAAACCGGTCACCACGACACATGCTGGAAGAAATCGTCCTCGTCGATGATGCCAGTGAAAGAGGTAATGATAACGTTGATGCCTTAACTTGCTTAACTTTTTACGTCAAAAATTGAGACTCACTTTCTACGAGCTTAGCTCTCCTCAGCAAAACACAGTAGCTGGGGCAGAGGAGGGCAGAGTGAGCAATGCCCGTTTTGAAATACAGATGGGTCATTCTCCACTGAAAACTAGTGTAAGTTTATCTGCCTGTTTACTTTCTGTTGACAGTGTAGAGTTTGTGTTTGCCAGTGGGTTTGTCCTATTACAGCTTTCATATTTTACATTTAGAATTTTAACACATTCCTAAAGCTTGAGGGCATTTAATACTTGAATCACCTGGTGAATAATAGCAAAGGCAACTCTGTTCCTCACACACATCCAAATTTACTGTCAGTACCACCATTAAACTTGGTGCTCAGAGGGATTAATTTTGATTATTCAGTTCTTGGGAAGCTGAAATTCAGTGTCTATGCTGTAAGAGATTCCACTTTTAAATAACTAGTGCTCCAGATGAAAACTCTGTGCTACAGAATGAAACTTTCCATGTGTAATGAAATTAATAGACAAAACTAGAAGATAATTTTTTTCCTTAAAATAAAATAACTTTATTTAGATTTTACTCTTTCCATATTTTCTGTGAATTACAATATAGTAGAAATAAAATAGTATTTCTAGACAATACTCGATATTTCATTTTGGTTAATAGTTGATATTTGGCTTGTTCCTTGCTTAATCTTCCTCAGTGGTATGGGTTATAAAGTATAACTTGAGGGATATTTTTTCTTCTTTTGTTTGTAAATGGAGATGAGAGGGTATTACCGTTTTTTCATCTAAAACATTTCTATATTTTTATATCGAATCACCCTTTTTTCTATATTTCTACACTGAAAGTTTTCCTCTGGGACTAATAACTAGTAGTCCACTAGGAAAAAGTCTTGGCAGCCACCAGTTGTAGGCTGTTATCTGTAACAGCAGGAATTCCCATGCTTTAGTCATGGAAGGGTTTTACGCCCAGCATGCTGACATCTCTGCCTGATGCTTCTGATTCCAGTGCTGCAAAATCCATCTTCTGCTGCTTATGGTAATTCCAACTTCAGAGTAAGATGGGTGACTGCTGTCCAGACAACAAGATCTGTCCAAACAAGATCTATGTATGAAGACAGACTCTGGATTTCAGATCATATGGTCTAAGTAGCATTATGGTGCATGGATTACAATGGTTAACAGGAGGTTTTATGATAGTTAGTAACCATTACAATGGTTAACAGGAGTTTTTGTAGCTGAAGAACTTTAGGAGTGAATTTTTTGCACTTCATATGTAACGTGGTAGAAAGTATAATGAGTTTCTCCTTCAGGTTGTATGTGTGTATGATGCCTTAGCATATTAACTGACCTATTCCAGACTATGTAGGTCTAGAGTACAGCTGGTTGTGGAGTAGCTGAGTAGACTAAAAGAAAGATCATATCAGCTAACTGAGCTCTGACCAACCTGTTTTCCTAAGGAAGCATAGCTCATGAGCTCAGGTTGTGTTTGCACTTGTATCAGTCTGTGTTCCTTTACCTCTCTTGGGCACCCTCGCTTGCTTTTGCTTTCTTACTTTAACTGCTTCAGCCAATTTCAGTGCAGTTTGGAAGAAGGGACAGAGGCCTTAAATACAGTTACGCTCTGGCAGCAAAGGAGGAATGCCCATGCAGAGGTCAACGCTGCCACATAAATGTGTTCCAGATTAGATGAGAGGTGTGATTAACTTTTGCTTTTAGAAAGACACAAGATCAAATTTTCACTGTTTTCACTTGTGGGGAATTTGTAATTGCACTCCACAATTTCTTGTAGTTTTTCAACCTTTATATAAAAATTCCAGATTTTTTTGAGTTCTAATGTGTGTGAAACTGCTCACCTCTCTTGGTGGTGTTCCCAGGGAACAATCTTCTTTTTAACACAGATGCTGATATTTGGATTCTGGGAGCCTATACTAGGTTATTGTACAGGTATATGCTTCCTTAACGGAACAGAGATAGTACATTTATTTTGGTTCCTTAGCTTTTGTGCACAGACTCTTGCTAGGAAAACAAAGTTTATTGCAAGTGTGCTCCGTTTCATTTGTCAAAACAATCCTTGGCACTAATTCAAATTGGTGACAAGTCAGCTTTCAATATGACCTAGAAATAAAGAGCAAGCTAATATTAAAATAAAGTAGACATAATATTTCCTGTGTTTTGCCTCCTCATTTTCTGTTTTAGAAAAAAATCAATTTTAACATAGCAGTAGCCATGTCCTCCATTATGAAGTAGAATTATAGTCCAGTTAAAAAAGCACGTGGCTTTCTCTAGATAACTTTTCTGTTTCTGGGTTTGGGTTAGGTAATAAAAGCAAGGTAACTTAATTCCAGGCTGAAAGACATAGCATTTCAGATTTTTTTGGTGCTGTTATTGAACCTGTTCCAATATTTAGTTTTGAAATCTGTGACCTTTTATCTGTAGTTATTTTCAACAATTACTGAAAGTTTTTTATTTGTTCGTTTTATTTTCTAAAAACTTGTTATGGTTCCAGCAAGCATGCTTTTACATTAAACAAAATGGAAGGGTATGATGCCTGAAAATTTGAAGGGTTTAGCATATGCTACTTAGGCATTCTGTTTGTGTTGAACTAAAACAGCAGACTTCTCAAGAAAAAGAAAACGTTCAGCCTGAGTATTTTGAATTCTAGCATCAGAGTCAATTTAATTGGAATAAAGTAAGCATTTAGTCTGCCTGAAGCACGCTTTGTACCTGCTAGTGTCATGCTCTTAGAAGAATGAATTTGCATAATATCACGCACTTACTTACACCAAAAAGAAAAGCTTTGGAGAAACAAGACATATCTGTAACATTGTTCTCTAGTTAATGATCAGAAGTGCATGTTTTAAGTACTTGTCTTTGGTAACTATTTTTAAAAAAAAAATAGTTAACAGGAGAAATCAGGATTAGTCAGTACTTAAAACTAGGTCAGCACTGAATGGCCAAGCATGGTAGACAGATTGCATCAGGGTAGAATACACTCACAGAAGTTAGTTATACAGATCAAAGCAATGTAACCAAAACTAAATTCCTGCCAATAATGTCTTATAAAAGTATTCACACTTCTTAAAACTGTTTGCATGCTTATATGTGATAAATCTGTGTTTTATTGTAGTTTAATTAAAGAAAAATTGTTTGAAACTTAATTTTTCATTTATTTTCATATAAATGTGACTCAGTAATAGAATTGGCAAAGTATTTTTCAACTTATGAACTTACTTGACTTGAACTGAATATATTTGCTTTTTCGGCTTTTAGTTCTGCTACTGCCACAGAAGATGCTCATTAAACTGTCCATAGTCCTAGGTAAAATTATGCACCCTTTTGATACAGAAGAAGTTTGAAAGGAATATCCAGCAGAAAGAGTTAAATGAAACTAAAGTTATACCTCTGAAAATACATTAATTATTTATTGTTCCCAAGTAGAAGTATTTGTGTTTTGGTTTTTTAAAATATTATTAAAAACTCACTCTCTGTTTGAAGTGTATGAGGCAATGCTAAAAATTTTACTCAGCTGTCATCCTGGGTCACTCGTAAAGAACTGACTCTGTAATGCATAGAACTTTTCATTTGAGTGTTTAACATAGGATTTATTATAAATATGACCAATAGGTTTATATAGCAAATAATCTCTACAGCTTGATTCTGACATTTCTTGTAGGCCAAAATGTATTGCATGCATTAAAAGACTATTCAAATACTCTTTTCTTTAAAGAAAAAAGCATATTACCAGTTTCTGGATGGATGACTCTTGCTACTTGAACTAAGGGAGCAGTTTGTGAGGGATGTGTATTGCTCTAAGAGACAGTGCTCTGAAGGGAAAATACACTGCTTAGATTTGAGCATTTAACCCTAACTGCTGGTAGCAGAGGAACACCAGAAATCTTGATGCCTGAGTTACTTTCCATGCTTTTGTAGGGATGAGACATGAAGCTTTACCTTTTTGCTTATTTTGCTGAAATTCTAGTAATATTTTAAGGGCACAGTTACTGAATGTCTGGCACAATGTTTTGTTTCTGGGAATACTCCCTTCTGAAGTTTTGAACAGGGTGGTAGTTCATAAGAATATTTTTATGGACATGGTTAAACATGAGAGAAGGACTGTTCTTAACCCTATTCCCTCCATAGCGAAAACACTGCACACATCTCTGATTGTTTCTTAGAGAAAAAGATTTGAAAAGTACTTGAAAAGATAAGTTGAAATTTGAAATACTTTACAGAGAAAATATAGGTAGGACTTAAGATTTTAATATGCAATATGTTGACCATGACTTTCTGTAGCGTAACTTTCTGTTTTACGCTAGTTCTTGAATGGCTGCAGTTGTATTATTGAAATCTTTCTCTCCTCCTCCTGGCAGAATGTTACCATTCTGTTAATGTAACTGTGCATTCAAGGACCAATGTCACAGCCCATATTCACTCAGCTTTAAGTGGTTAGAACTACTTTAAAAGCTTACCAGCACTACACCTGAAATGTGCAGAGGAACATCTTGATTTTTGTGACTTGCCCATGAGATGGTTAGCATAGAGAGAAATGCCTCACTGTTTTATTCTCTTTATGTGTATCATGGAAGCCGTATACATTAAAACTATAAACATTACCATGACACTAGTACTTTTAAATTAGTGGCTTTGGAAAGCTACACTGTAAAGAGATGAGATTATATTTGCTACGGACTGTCAGCCAAATGATCTCTGTTTGTGCTCAACCCCAAAAGGCCTGCAAAATGTTCAGACATGTACACTTGGTTTGTACTAATAAACATTTATTCATTTGTGTCTGTGTTAATATGCAAAATAAGAATTGCTTTGAGTTTCTCTGAAGACAAATATTTAAGATCTATCAAACTCTTAGGCTCTTTTAGCACAGTTCAGCGTTCAAGATGTGTCAGAACTCATTTCTGTGGGTTTTAGTGACAGTCCAACAATGCACAGAAAAAAATGAGGAGGCAATTAGAACTCACCCATCTGGAGCAGTGGTAAGGAATGGTAATCACCCTCAGGGCAGCTCTGCCTCTTGAGGTTTACAAACCAAAACAACCCAGCCACTAAGAGTTCATGCCATGCTTCCCCGCCACCCCCACCCCCCCTGCCCCCAGTGTCATGCTTATTCTTACTATCTTATGCTAAATCCTACTACAGGCTTTGCACTGTTGAAGTACAACTCCCGTGTGCTTTGAATGTATAATTTAATATATTCCGTAGCTGTGTTATAAGACTATTTTGCCTTGTTTACAGATTTGAAATCTGCAAGTTATTGCAGAAGTCTGTTTCTGTGACTGCCAATTGCATTCTCCCTCAATTCTTTGTTCTTCCTTTGGCATCATCCATCATAGTCTAATTTTTCATGATGGACAAAAACTCTGCCTGGCAATGGGAAATTTGTTAATTTGGCAGCTCTTTGTAGTGCAAGTAATTTTGAGCCTCTAGGCATATGGTAGTCAGTTATGGCTGTTCTATTTTGAATAATTTGTTCCTCAGCTAAGCTGAGGTTTGTTGGTGTTACAGATATTCATTTATGTATAGCTGATTTTGTCTTTATTTTTGTTTTTAGGTGTTATAGTGATAATTTAATAGAAAAAATATTAGCCAGAAAAATCTAGAGAAAGCACAATTGAAAAATGGATTTGGTCATGTTTTAAACTGCTTGCAAAGAAATTATCTGTAAGTTACATTCCTGTAGGAGGTAATTCATTACGTTCAGCTAGTCGGATCATTTTCTGTATTTTCTTGGTAGAGAAGTGTTATGTCCAAGAACACTTACGCATATGTTTTTTGAAAGTAAGAGTCACATCTACTCCATAATAAAAACTTGCCTATCCCATCTGGTTTCTGTGTAAACATTCCACACTCTCTTCATTTTTGTGTTTCCCATAATGAAGAAATGAAGAGGAGGAAGAACTTCCTGCTCTAGCGAGTGAAACACATGGAGATGTGGAAAGACATATTGTGAAGTGTAGAACAAGCAGCAGAGGAAACTAGCTGAGAATGTAGGAAAAGGATAGAAAAGAAATGAGGAAATGTCTCTTAATTCAAGTCTCTTCATTAAAAAAAAAAAAAAAGAAAAAAAAGAAAAAAAAAAGCTGAACTATGTAACTGACAGTTTCCATGGTTTTGATCGTTCTTTGCAGACTTCTTGAAAAGACCACTGGAGAATTATGTGAAAAAATTAAAAGTACCTGTTCATGTGATTCGAATGGAACAGCGTTCTGGATTAATTAGAGCCAGATTAAAGGGGGCTGCTGCTTCTAAAGGCCAGGTCATCACCTTCTTAGATGCTCATTGTGAATGTACAGTAGGCTGGCTTGAACCTCTGCTGGCAAGGATCAAAGCTGACAGGTAATTATCCATCTGTTGGTCCATGTTGGTTTTTTTGGTTATTATGAAATGTTCCAAGTATTACAATATAGCCTACAAGCAAATATCTACTCTCTGAAGGGCTAGATAAATTCTCATTCGTGTAAGGATAAAAGGCTAATTCAGTACAACTTTTTAAAAGTAAAACTTGGTTTAAAGTGAAGCTTATATTGGGATGCATGGGATAATGTGTTAAATAGCAGGAGACCTGAGCATGAATGGAGTTGAGAGAGCAGTGGAATTTGAGGTCTTCCGTCTGCAGCCTGGCCCATTCCTTCATGAATTTGGGAAGATATTCTTGAGGAAGAAATGGAGCCCTGATCTCATGTAACACCAACACTGTGAGCAAGAACTGTCAGGTTTACTGTTTCCAGGTTCTCATTGTGATTTCTTCATTTCGTAACATATTTGTATTGTGGCATTCTGTGCTGTGACTTGGTCTTCTGGGGTGTATTTTCTAAAGTTAGCATAGTTACTGGGATCATACTGATCTACACTGCAGTAACATAGCTTTATATTTCTATCATAAGTCAATACTTGCAACACTTATATCCATGGTAGTGTGAAGGAAATTGTATTGGGAGGGGAACAACAAAAACAAGTGAGAGAATGGTCTGCTTTAAAACACTCGTACATCTGAGCAGTAACTGTAGATGCACACTAGTCTGTTAGTAAATAGCATATTAGAGTAGATGTTAAGTATGGTGTTACAGATCTCTGTTTTGTTCTTATGGTTATAGATAAAAATCACTTTTAAAATTTAACGTTACAAAATATAGCATTACATGATGAAAAAGCTACAAGTAATAAAGAATCTTTGTTCAGAACTGTGCTAAGACATAATACTAACCTTTGAGTTACCATTAATACGCTTTTTGTGAGACTACGATACATAGTTGAGCCATTTGCATAAATTGTAACAAAGTCAGTCCTTTAAATTTAGTTGCCACCCCCAAATCTTTTTAGAGAGCTTTCCGAGAGAGGAAGCCTGCTTGAGGATGGTTACTTAAGTGTCTTTAAGATTATTAGAATTAGTTCTGTGAGTATGTCTTAATAATGTCAGGACAGAGGACAGGGAGACTTCCTCCTCTTTCTGTTGACTTTGATGCAGTAGTTATACTTTGTTAACAGTGACTATAATTTCTTAGTCCTGAGGGCATATAAGAATACTTCCCCAGAGCTAATGACCAAGTTTTAATTTCAAAACATGCAAGTTACTTTGACCACTTAACTAGAAATTAGAAACTCTTACTTTCTATACAGTCACTGTGTAGCACTGAGAAAGCTGTGATCAGTTTTTCCATCTGCAGAGGGAAGAATATTTATTACTGGTAATAATGCAAATACTATTTAAAAAAAAGCTAGTATTGCCAAAATTGTACCAGAAAAACACATTTTCCTTTAGATGAATTAACTTTAATTATAAAGACAGAATTTGAATATGTTTCATGGTAATAATCTATTGAGTACCATTGTTAAGAGAACTACTTTAATTATAAAGACAGAATTTGAATATGTTTCATGGTAATAATCTATTGAGTACCATTGTTAAGAGATGGCATTACAAAAATTTAAACTGTATGTGTTAAAAACAAAATTAAAAAGAAAAAAACCCTCCCTTTTTTGACACTTTAATTAATAGGTTTTGTTCTTTTTCTTTTTCTAGGAGAACAGTAGTGTGTCCCATCATTGACGTAATTAGCGATGACACCTTTGAATATATGGCAGGTTCTGACATGACCTACGGTGGATTCAACTGGAAGTTGAATTTTCGTTGGTATCCTGTTCCTCAGAGAGAGATGGATCGACGGAAAGGAGATCGAACCCTTCCTGTTAGGTAATGAGAAATTATTAAATTCGTTAAAATGTTCACCTGATGTTTACACATATCCTTTCTAGGTTAATCTTTTAAGTACTTAATGAATTGTGTTGTAGTATCATTTTTGTCTGGTTGAAGGAACAGCATAAAAGTTTTTAAATGGATTAGTTGTTCATAACTTTTGGTAGCAATGAAGGAAGCAATCAGCTTGTCGCTTTAGAAATAGAAATTATTAAATTCGTTAAAATGTTCACCTGATGTTTACACATATCCTTTCTAGGTTAATCTTTTAAGTACTTAATGAATTGTGTTGTAGTATCATTTTTGTCTGGTTGAAGGAACAGCATAAAAGTTTTTAAATGGATTAGTTGTTCATAACTTTTGGTAGCAATGAAGGAAGCAATCAGCTTGTCGCTTTAGAAATATTTTTAAGTTTTATGTCTAGTACTGGTGAATTGCTAGCTTTTAACTAGTTCTTATACTGATGCACAGGTTTTTATTGAAGCTTATTTTTATTGTTTTTAGTGAACCTTATTTTTATCTTTTCTAACAAAGAAAACAATATTTTGAGAAGATGAATAGATTTTTGGTGTGTGTATGTGTATGTATGTGTGTGTGCATACATATATAAACTTCTTCAAAGTGCATGGGTGGAAGGTGAATTTATACTTGCACGTCATGTAGCTGTTATGACAAAGGCAATGAGAAACAGATAACTTGTGTGTAACGTGTACTTTTTAACAACTGCAAACTTA